CTTCTTTCTGGTAGTTTAAGCTTCTTTCTGCATTTTGTAGCTACTTTTCAGCCTTTTTTTTGTTGCTAATTTCAGCTTTTTCCAGATAATTTCCACTTTTTTTGTGCTCATTTCTGCTTCTTTCAGCCTAATATGGCAAAATTGCGCTATCTCCACTTCTGCAAATTTGTTTGTTCTACCTTTTCAGCTAAACTTTTAGCATTTTTTAGCTAATTTCAGCTGTTCTCAGATAAATTCAAGTTTTTGTGGTAATTTCTGTAACTTTCAGCCTAATTACCGGTAACTCCTTTCTACTAATTTCAGCTTGTTATGCTCCTTTCAGCTCCTTTCTGCTAGTTTCAGCTACTATATAGTTGTTTTTGTGCTAAATTTAGCTTTTTCAGCTAATTCCACTTTTATTATTATTTTTTTTATTATTTTTAACTAGTTTCAGCTCTTTTCACTTCCTTCTGGTAGTTTAAGCTTCTTTCTGCCTTTTCAGTTATTTTTCAGCTATTGTTTAGCTAATTTCTGCTTTATAGCTAATTTCCTAATTTGTGGGCTCATTTCTACTCATGTAAACCTAATTCAGCAAATTACTGCTTTCTTCTGATAACTTCAGCTTGTTCTTCCATTTCAGCTACATTTCAGCATGTTTTTAGTTATATTCAGCTGTTTTCAGCAATAAGCATTCACACTACATTTTTGTAGGAAATGCAAGTTGTTTTTTTTTGTACCTTTTTTTTGAACCATAACTTTTCTGTATACAACAAAGTCCATGCTCAATAATCCAGGTATACAATCCAAAATTTTTCCGTCAGGTCATCTGGATAGTTATTTTTTTTTTGTGCTGAAACATTTCACCTTCCATCCAGAAGGCTTCATCAGTCAAGGAAACGCACAACACAAAACTTATTCTTCCCCCAACAGCTTACTCCAAAGTAGAACAAACCAGATTTGCTGGTGCTAAGATGGTCTCTTTGGCACGGCCCCTCCTCCATTGCCGGCCCTCTTCCTTGTTGACGGTCGTGTCAAACTGGTTGAAAACAACAAAGTCCATGCTCAATAATCCAGGTACACCTTTTGAAACTTTAACCATTCAAACGTCAAAATATTGAGCTCATTTTGGCTCTTGGTTTTTGCAACATTTATACTATTTTATTAAACTTTTTTAATCACATTTTCCTTATCAAAATAGTTCTCAAATTTCTTGAAAAACAATGTTTTTCAGTCTGATTCAACATACCTGCTCTATTGTCGTCATCTTATGCTACTTTTAGCTTTTTTAGCTAGACTTTTGTCACTTGTCTTTTAACTTCCTTTCTGATATTTATAGATTTTAGCTAACGTTTTGGTACTTTTAGCTACTGTATTGGTATTTTTAATGTTTTGTCACCATCCTTTTTTTTTTAAATTGAGCATTTGAGCTATTTTTAGCTTTTTAGTTAGTTTGGCTTTAACTCAGTTACAACTTCTGTAAATAACTTTAGTCATTCAACACTCAGCATTCACGTTGCATTTCCACAAAACATCCAGTGTGTCTGTATTTGTTTAAATCTGTTTTCATTTGGGAATATTCTATCCAAATGAGCATGTTTCTGCTCGTCCTTGCCTTTAGTACTGTTGGATTTTTCGTTGTACACGTGAAGATCCTTTAATCCTCTGGATGGATTACCAAAACCTGAGTGAGCTGCCCTAAAGCCTCGTTGTGAACTGTGAGGATCCTAATTTGTGTCTGTGAGGAGAGGCTTCGTGTGAACCAGCAAGGCAGGTGCACAACACAAGTATGAATTATAAACAAGGCAATCTCAGCTGTGTCTGTCAGGAACAGATGAAACTGGGGCTGAATCCTTTTGATATTCTTAGCCAAGCTCACGTTTCACACAGGCTGACGGTTTGTTGCGTTTCATAAGCTTGAAGGCTGCTGCAAGTTGTGACACGGATGTGGTGAGTTCTTTTCTCACTGTGTGGCTCGGTGAGTTGTAGTTTTTTGTTTTTTTTGTGTGTCGTGACACAGCTACTCCCGGATATGGATTCAGCTCTGACTTTCTGCTGCACAATAAATGCCGAAGCTGCCCTAAAGCACATTCTGTGGAGTCGGAGTAAGGCAGATAATTGAGGGCTAAATACTTCAAGGTGCAGCTAAACTTCAGCTGTTCTCCTCCTCCGACTTCCTCTTGTATTTTTCCTATAAATGGAATCATGTTGACAAAGAAATATCTTTTATAAGACTGAATTTCTCCACCGAATGCTCCCTAACAACCGTTCAGCTGTTTTCTTCAGTTTCCAATTAAAAGCCTATATTGTTGACTGAAAGGCCATGGGTGAGATGCATTTCTTCTAGAGTTTCAGACCAAGACTTGTAAGAAATGACCGAGTTGCTGCAGTTTTGGTTAAACCTTGAAGCCATTTGTCTTATATCGAGATGTCACGGTTAGCATGCGTTTAATAAGATTCTTGTTGACTACCACATCAAATTTTACCTCAGATTTTCTAATAAAACACTCTGAAGCAGCCATTTTTATGTTGACTAATGTTGGTTAACTGTCGTGGCCATTATGAATCGAACTAACTCCTGAAGTTAACCAGTTTTATTTGTACAGATGCTCATCCAGTGATGACTTTAAGCTTCAGACAGAACTGCTTTTTATTTTTCATGGTTCATGCATAAATTAAACCTGAACATGTGTCTGTCCCAGCTGCTGATATAGTCCTGCACCAGTCCTTGTGAGTGGTTTCTCTCTGTTGCCAAACAGGCTTGTTGCTTGCATCTTTTAACTGCCGCCTCATGCTAGACATCAAACTTTCATCCACTCCTCAGCCAAAAGCTTGTCAGATTCTTCTGAACTGAGCCCAGATATTGAAAAGAAACTTCATAACACCTGAGGTTTTTGGGAAAACAAAAACTCCCACTTAAAACTTTTTTCAAAAAACGCTTGCAAAGGCCTTTAAATGGTCTCTCAGTCTAGTTCTGTAGGCTACAAAATCATGGGGAAAACTGCTGACTTGACAGTTGTCCAAAAGACGACCATTGGCGCCTTGTTTGTACAGGGCAAGACACAAAAAGTCATTGCTAAAGAGGCTGGCTGTTCACAGAGCTCTGTGTCCAAGCATATTAATAGAGAGGCAAAGGGAAGGAGAAGATATGGTAGAGAAAAGTGCACAAGCAATAGGAATAACCACACCCTGGAGAAGATTGTGAGCCAAAACCCATTTCTAAAATGTGGGGAAGAAATACATAGTGAACTGCAGCTGAAGTCAGTAATTCAAGAACCACCATGCACAAACGTATGCAAGACATGGGTTTCAGCTGTTGCATTCCTTGCGTCAAGCCACTCTTGAACAAGAGAAAGCATCAGAAGTGTCTCGCCTGGATTAAAGACTAAATGGACTGGACTGCTGCTGAGTGGTCCAAAGTTATGTTCTTTGATTGAAGTAAAATTTGCATTTCCTTTGGAAATCAAGGTCCTACAGTCTGGAGGAAGGGAGAAGAGGCACATAATACACATTGCTTGAGTTCCAGTGTCAAGTTTACACAGTCTGTGATGGTTTGGGGCGCCATGTCATCTGCTGGTGTTGGCCCACTGTTTTGAGGTCCAAAGTCAACGCAGCCATCTACCAGGAAGTTTTAGAGCACTTCCTGATTCCTGCTGCTGACCAACTTTATGAAGATGCAGATTTAATTTTCCAACAGGACTTGGCACCTGCACAGTGCCAAAGCTACCAGTACCTGGTTTAAGGACCATGGTATCCTTGTTCTTAATTGGCCAGAAAACTCACCTGACCTTAACCCCATAGAAAATCTAAGGCGTACTGTGAAGAGGAAGATGTGATGCACCAGATCCAACAATTCAGAAGAGCTGAAGGCCACTATCAGAGCAACCTGGACTCTCATAACACCTGAGCAGTGACACAGACTGATCCACTCCATGCCACGATGCACTGCTGCAGTAATCCAGGCTAAAGGAGCCCCAAGTACTGAGTGCTGTACATGCTCATACTTTTCATGTTTATACTTTTTATGTTCATACTTTTCAGTTGGCCAACATTTCTAAAAACATTGGTCTTAAGTCCTGATGCCTGCTCAATAATCCAGGTAGAAAAAGCCAAAAAAGTTGAATCTGGTCCTCTGGACATTCAAAAAACAAAACGAAGCAAACTAAAAAAATGTAGAAACGTTTCGTCTTTCATCCGAAAGACTTCCTCAGTCTGAGGTGCTGTATTCAGCTCAGTCTTATAAATAGCACCTTCTCAGAGTGGATCAACCAGTTTTGCTGCTGACAACCAAAACCAGCTGCTCACATGGTCAAGAAGGACCATCATCCTACCAATGGTCAAGAAGGAAGATGGTCCTTCTTGATCATGTGAGCAGCTGGTTTTGGTTGTCAGCAGCAAAACTGGTTGATCCACTCTGAGAAGGTGCTATTTATAAGACGGAGCTGAATACAGTGCCTCAGACTGAGGAAGTCTTTCGGATGAAAGACGAAACGTTTCTACATTTTTTGTTGTTTTGCTTTTTGTGTTTTTGAATGTCCAGAGGACCAGACTGAACTTTTTTAGATTGGTCTCAAGTAATAGTCTAATTTTCAGAGATACTGAATTTGGGGGTTTCATTAGTTGTCAGTTATAATCATCAACATTAAAATAAATAAACATTTGAAATATATCAGTCTGTGTGTAATGAATGAATATAATATACAAGTTTCATTTTTTGAATGGAATTACTGAAATAAATAAACTTTTTCATGATATTCTGATTTTATGACCCGCACCTGTAATGTTTATTAGTGGCCAAGCACCACAGGGGAAACCATAAAGACTTGTTGGGGTTGCAGGAGGGGAACCAGTGAGCAAGATTTGGATTAAATGGAAAAACAAAATAAACGTGTTAATATTTTTGGTGCAAAGTTTTGAAACTCTGTAGAAGTCTGAAAAAGGAGCTACCAGTAAATAAGACTCGCGCTTTCTGCAGAGACATGAAACCTTTGTAGTAATTTTGTTCTCTGCTCGCTGTAACACAGTTCTGGCAGTTTGGCGAGTGGATGGATGTGGTGATTGATGACCGGCTGCCGGTGAAGGATGGGAAGCTGCTGTTCGTCCACTCGGCAGAGGGGACTGAGTTCTGGAGTGCTCTGATGGAAAAGGCCTATGCCAAGTAAGACTGGAGGAAAACTGGAAACTTACGGCTGAAAACACCCAAACATGTATTTTGGACAAAGCAGCAGAAAATGTTTTTGTTTTTAAGCAAAAGAATGAACATGTCAGACCTGGAAGCCCATTGTTTTTGCAGTACAGACACTGGCCTAGTGTGACACCCAGTGGTGTCCTGTGGTCATAAATAAAACTGAAGGAATCACCAGGAACTGCACATCCAAGATTTTGAAGTGCTGCATTGATAAACTTTCCATTTGCTCAGTACAATTTGAGATATTTAAGAGTTTAGCTTTTTGGAAATAAAACATTTTTCTTTCAGAAGGGCACTAGGTTGATCAAATTGCTACTTATTGTTAAAGAAAAACAAAGAAACCGGACAGAGGAGCTTCTTTATGAAATGTTATCAGTTTAAATAAAGTTTTTTTCAGTTTGGGATCTGTGTGCAGAAACTTTCAGAATGGAACAAAAGTAAAATAACACTTGAATAATTTTAGTCATCTTAAAGCAATCATTTAGATCTTTTAAATGGACTTCTGAGAAAATAAACTCCATTAATAGCTTATTTTTCATTTAGCTGCTCCTTTCCGTTTGGGTTGCCACGGCAATCAAACCTGGATGAAAGATTTGGCAAACATTTTACACTAGATGCCCTTCCTGATGGAACCGAAGCTTCAACCTGCCGCCTCAGGATTATGGAACCAGGGCCATGACTATCTTACCTGTTGTAGATAGCTCTTTGACTGACCTCACTTTAGAGGAGGAGTTTAATTCTGACGGAACTGACGAGCTAATGGCTAGTCCTAAAACAGCTGAGACCAAAGTGAACTGTTATTTTAGTATAAATGTTGATGTTTCTGCAGGAAGTGCCACTGGCTGCACACAGAGTACTACAACTAACTGCTGCTGCTCATTTTTGTGCTAGCAAATAACGATAAGATTTTATGGAAATAATCACAAATAAACTGACCATTATTGACAGTTTATGAAAAAATGTTCACATGCTCGGTTACAAAATGTCAGGCTCAATGGGATTTACCTGTCTAAATAAAGGTTGAATGGAAAAAAAAAAGTTTGAATTGTTTTATGATGTCAGCAATTTACTTTGGTCTGTCTGCACTGTAAAGACTAGCCTTTAGCTCTTCAGTCTGGTCAGAAATAAACTATTTACTGTCTACAACATGTAAGGTATTTGCTATTTATATTGACTTAAAAATATAACTATTGCTTTTATATATTTGGAGATGAAACGTGTTCATTATTTTTCTTTTTCAGAAGAGCTCAAAGTCGACCCGATTATAATTTTATTTTTATCATTTGGGAAAGGCAGTAAAAACGGACTCCAGAAGACGTTTTATACATTTTTTTTTCTCTGGCATATTTCTAAACGTGAGGTAAATTCAGGAAGTGAGAGTAGGAAATCCCTGCAGAGAACAGGACCGAGGAATACTTGAAGAATAAATCCTCTTCGGTCTGCAGCTGTTTGGCTGGACAGCTGTGGTCTCAGCTGTTTAAATGAAATGGAGCTTTGTTCCTATGAGCATCTGCCTGCTTAGTTTTAAGAGCTTCCCAGACTGTAAAAGTGAAACTACTGCATTATTGACACCATTGGTTATCTGGTCAAATATGGTGACGGCTTTAAAATGTGCAAAGTATTTAATTTTAATTTACATTGAGAATATGTTTTCTGTAAACCAAACCCCTTCTGTGTTTCAGACTGAACGGCTGCTACGAGGCTTTGTCGGGCGGCAGCACATCAGAAGGCTTTGAAGACTTCACAGGTGGCGTGACGGAGATGTACGAGCTGAGTAAAGCCCCCTCCGACCTGTACAGCATCATCAAGAGAGCCGTAGAGAGGGGCTCGCTGCTCGGCTGCTCCATTGACGTCAGTACTGATAACGTTCTTTCTACTTCTGTCACAAGAAAACACAACAATGCAGATTAACCAGGGACAGTGAAGGTTCAATGGTACTATAAAGTAGTTTGTGAATTGTCCTCCTCCTAGGTGAATTGTTTCTAGTAAATTTCATAATTTAAAATGTAATGTTAACAAAACTTGTCTTAAACTACAACAGATCGCACGTATCTAGTAGAAACCCTCGAGGGGACAGAGACAAGTTGGCTGTTTTGTTGATTATTAGCAATTGAATGGATCATGAAGCAGTGGCTACATCGCTGAGCATCACAAAAGCAGCTGATGTCACACAATAGACATCGCAAATAATTGTGCTTCATGATGTTGTTCATTCACTGTGTTCTCTTACAGATCACCAGTAAGTTTGACATGGAGGCCGTCACATTTAAGAAGCTGGTGAAGGGACACGCCTACTCTGTGACGGCCGTGGACGAGGTGAGACGTACTATGGAAGGATATGAAGATAACACTGACTGACTGACCAGAGAGGTTAAATGATGTGTTGTTAAAATACACTTTAAATTACTCAAGTTTATTGTATGGTAAATGTTTAAAACTTGTGCCAAATCATAAGTTGATCTTAAACCTAAAAGTTCACCGAGACAAGTTTATCTTCACTTGTTCATTTAAAGTGGAAGGTTAGCTGTGTTTAAACGTTTTAATTGTGTTGGTAGCTAAAAAAAAAAAACAAGTCATATCTGTGTGGCACAGTTTATTAGGCTTACTCGTACAAAAGTCAAACAACATCCAGGTCAGATGCAACGAAAGCAGCTGTATAGTTCTTTAATGTGTTTACTGCTTTAGGTTGGAATGCAGGTAAGGTTAGTTATTGCTAAGTTAATAAACTGAAGAAAAATAATTTTCTGTGAAAATAGTGTGAATTCCGAGTGGTGAATAACTTTGTACACAAATGATAAAGTAGCTGAAACAGAGTTTGAATATGGCTAAAATTAGCGTAACACTAGTGAAAAGTCAAAATGTAGCGACGAGCCAGCTAAAAGTCAAAATGAAGCGACGCGCCAGCTAAAAGTCAAAATGTAGCAACGCCCCAGCGAAAAGTCAAAATGTAACGAAGCGCCTGCGAAAAGTTAAATGTAGCGACGCGCCTGCGAAAAGTCAAATGTAGCGACGCGCCTGCGAAAAGTCAAATGTAGCGACGCGCCTGCGAAAAGTCAAGTTT